CACACCTTTCCGATTGTGGCAACGCCCACCGGCTTGATTGGGCATTGAGGTGTATTGAACACCTTGGACGTTTGATCCCAACCGAAGGGTGTATGATCCGATGAACTGGACACCGCCCCCCCCCAATGGATTGCGGTTTTCACACACTACCCTACTACCTTGTGGGTCAGGCTTTAGTTAGCCGAGGCTCCGGTTGTGGACTCTTCAAGAAAATTCATCTGTCTTCGCCTTGGCAACCCGACAGTATTCAGCCTACACGCTAATCGTGGAACGTTTTTCTTTTTGTGAAGATTATTGTACCGCGATTTCTTTGGCACTCAGTACGAACTCAGACGTGATATATATATATATATGATAAGTAGTATGTGAGTGACTGGAGAAAATTTCCCTGGAACCACATGACCGGTTTTGCGGTTCTTGCCGCTCGTCAGGCATGCGTATCCGGTAATCTTCTGTCAGTTCCATCATATACTTGTACCCAGGAGGTGTATTTTCGTCACAATAACCTTGTTTGCAACACCGGGTCTCTGTCTCTGTCTCTCTCTCTCTCTCTGTATATATATATGTATGTGTGTGTGTCTGTGTGTGTAAACAACATCAGTTGAAAATAAATGAGTTATGCTTCAGAGTGAAAGCTCTAGCGATGAACAGATTTGTGAAAGTGTCAAGTACTACATTTGGAGAGAAGAAATTCCCTCGGACAAATTGAAAGCCATGGAGGAAGGCATTTAAGCGCACCCGCGTAAAAGAGAGACTGGGTTAGAGGGTTCTCCATCCAAGTCAAACCAGGGATTAAGCCGGACGTTTAGCCTATGCCTGTATACTCACATTACATTTGGAACAGAAGAGGAACCCCAAACTACCACGATTATTCACTTTGATAACGAAACGAGTGGAGGCTTAGGGACAGCATGTGTGCCAATAAAAGCAATTATTACAAGGAGATCTTTTCATACGACTGAGTTCATCCAAAAACAAAATATCCTGATGTTGGATGAGAAGTTCAAAACAACCTCGAGCGAGAACGTGAATCAATGAAAAACAAAACGAAAACGTTTTCTTTTTTTAACTTCACCTTTAGGAACAATTTCGTACCTGCTTGAAAATACGTTGGCTGTCTGGATGTATTTATATTTATATATGTTTGGTGCACCGTAAACTCTAGTTGTTTTACCAGTCACCAGTGAAAAAAGTAAACTGAATACCTGGACTATCAATGTGCGGTTCGACTCTAATAATGCACTTCTTTAGATGCTGATGAACAGCCGAATTTAAAATGAGGCCGTGTCCCTTTTATCAATATATGGTGTCAATGGAACTAACAGATTAACTTTTGTTGTATCATCCAGCCTTAAACAGCCACGTTCTGCAAGACTATACGAACACGGGCCGAAAGTGTTCTTTAGCATGGAAATTTGCCTTGCTCTGCAACCACAAGGATCTCAATATCATGGCACTGTCCGCCTATCTCAGTCCACCCAAAGGTTATCTTCGATTCTGGCTGAGATTTTCCTTTCTGAAATGGTTTCCCTGACCTGGTGGTTTACTTTGGACTTGAATTATTTGTTGAAACTTTGCAAAAAAGGTATTTTTGAGATATTTATCTTTAGACCAACGATTTAGGCTTCGTATTCGATACGGTTCGTGATCGGCTGTAGACTGTCACGGTCGTCTCCTAAAATTTGAATGTTGTCTAATAAAAGTCTGCGGTTTGTGATCCAGTTTTCGCGATTGATTTGAATGCCTTGAGAATCACAGAGAACGGTGCATTAGCCAGATGAATAGGGTTAGTGATGCGAGACGAAAAACAAGCTGTAATTTTGATCTACCCGTCCCTATTGGTGCCAAAGCCCGTTTGCTCATCAGCCTTATATATACGTCTCAGGTATCCCGTCTGTGCCTAATATGCTTCCGAGTGACTGTGTATTAACGGAGTCAAAAGCAGCTTGAAAATCAAAGAAACAATGTGCTGTGGGAATTCATGGTGATCTCCTTGGGTTCATATCGGTGCACGATCCGGTCTATTTAGTCCATCCCTCGGTGAAAATCACAATATAGATTGAAAATGTTTTCTCATCGCTTTCGGTAACAAATTGGTTAGAAAAAATAGTTGGAGAATGCTTTGCCATCTTTGGATTAATATCTCGGAATTTCGAACATTTGGTTTTATAAATGCTTTTTAAATCTTTGTCAGCCTGGGAAAAACGTAGGCATCTCAGATGAGACCGAATTGTTTGGTCAATGAATCCCGTAGAGCTGCTGACAGTCGTTATGGCTTTCACATCGGATACCATCTTCGTCCTAGGGATTTCCTGTTTTCCATTGCTATGACGGCGGTAACGAATTCATTTAAAGCCTGAAGGATGTGATTCGGTTTATTGGGGGAAATTTGTGCATAGAGCCAACGAAGCGTGAACTGAAAAGCTGTGAAGCGCTGTATAGCACTTTTGATGTGGTTGGGTCTTATCATTGGCAGTGCAAATCCATAGATCCAACTAGGGGGACGGAACCGAGGACCTCACAGACAGAACGCAAGCGAGCCACCCACTCGGCCACCCTGGGGCAGCTGATCAGACCGTTTTTTACTATTCATTTGCTCTATACACGGAAAATTTCCTTATAAAATTTCACCTAAAACTCGGTAAGCAGTTTAAAATTATTCTCACCAATGACTGAAATCACCAGTGACCGTTACATGATGAGCTAATTGATCTTTCAGTTATAGACTAAACATTTTTGGGTACTTCTTTCATGATAAAGTTGTATCCATCATAGTCAATCTGAAGCCTAAGACAATAGAATCCCTTTTTAGGCCTAACAGTGATCCTTTGTTATAGGTCGTGGGGCCAGTGAACTGCAGTTTGCCGCATTGCTTCCATGTTTGGTTTTCAACGGTCGCATGAAATTGTCGTAGTATTGTTCTGGATATGTGAACAGGAGCATTATCTTCTGCATCTGTCGCTAAGGCGTTCGTTGTCGTCACAACCTCAATTTCCATTCTCTTATACCTTCTTTAATATCATCATACATTTTTTAAAATTTTTTTTTTTTCTCCGTGCTGCTTTGCCTGTGGACGTGTGAGTTCACAAAAGATTTTCCGTCATTTTTACTACAGAAAATGCTTCACTCTTAATGGTCAATGTTTGGAAAAATTCAACCATACGTCTTTCCTAACCACGGTTTTCCGAAATCTGCAACTTAATTCTCTGTTCCAATAGCCACGAAACCGATACCCAGTGCTCTTCTTCGGCCATCCCGCACCAAATTCCACTGATAGTAAAATAAAGTTTGAAAAAATAGTTCCTGGACAAGTTTAGTGACCGGAAACGCTTAGCGGTTAATGGCTTTGATTCTCAATCCAGTTGACCTAACACAACTGTGGTTTAGCGAACGTTTACTAATTGTTCCTCATCTTATGTCAGACGAAACATGGATTGGGTATTTCAGAGCTGAAATATCATTTTGGGGGCACTGGTGAGCACGGTTGTACTTCTTCACGCATGTCGGCCTTCATTGTTCGTGCGGTGTATTGGGCACCTTGGACGTTTGACCCCAACCGAAGGGTGTATGATCCGATGAACTGGACACTGCTCCCCCCAATGGATTGCAGTTTTCACACACCACCCCACTGCCTTGCGGGTCGGGCCTAGGATAGTCGAAGGCTCCGGTTGTGGATTCCCCAAGAAAATCCACCTACCTTGGCCTGAGTAACCTGGCAGTATTCAGCCCACAAGCCAATCTTGGAACGTTTTTCTCTTTATAAAGATTACTGTATCATGATTTGCTTGGCATTCAGTCTGTCCTCAGACAAGTGTGATATGATAATAATAAAAATAATATTAATAATAATAATAATAATAGTAATACTTTGAACTCAGACAACAAGAGGTTGTCGAGCAGGATGAACTAACACAAAATAACAAATCTGGACTGCAACTCTGAGGTTTCTTTTTAGTCTTGAGTGACACATTGGCTCAGCATGAATAATCTAAACAAATCAACTAAACCGTGTAGAACAAAGTGTGTTAAAAATGTGAACTTAAAAGCCTGCCTCTTTTTCCACTTTTCTCCCACCCGATTTCAGGCTTCCAGCCGCTCAACAAATCAGGCACGGACAATGGCTTTGGAACGAGTGAACGAATTCGCCCTGAGCGGATTGCGCACTTTGGTCTTATCGTCACGTAAACTCCGGGAGAAAGAATATCAAGCATTGATCAAACAGTGGCGAACCACAATGAGTTTATTTGGTCCGGATCGAGCCAACGCCATGGCCACAGTGAGGCAAACGATTGAATCCGGTTTGAAAATTGTCGGTGTGACCGGAGTAGAGGATCGGTTGCAACCGGGAGTTCAAGATTGTCTTCAGAGCCTGAGAGAGGCGGGAATTCAAGTAGGAAATTTTGGTTTATGTTTTTGGTTTCGATGACTACATAATTCTTTTAGATGGTATGAAGGTTTGCTGTATATGTGTATTTATATAGGTATTGACCAAACTTGTGGAACATACTGATTTACTCACGTTTTTCCCTTCTCAGTGCTTCGTTTTCCAGGCTCATTCGTGGGATTGAATATGATATTGCCCCACATCAGAAGCAATATATCCGATATAATACCCACTTATGTCTTTGCTTCTATTAACCACACGCCATAAAAATGTACGATTTCACGATTTCGAAGATGGTTCCTGGTGCATCAGTTGTGAAGTAACAAGGTCACCGTAGAAAACGTAACTAGAATTGTTCATGTTCCATTTGCCCTTCATTTTTGAGCACTGAAGGCAGTCGCTTTGGCATGGAGTCCACCATGTTGACCGCTAAACAGAATTAGCCAGTTTCCTCCAATACACCCCGCACACTAACCACTGAAGACCAAGGCAGATGGCTTATCTCTCTTTCTGATACAGTAAAAATTTATAGAATAAATTAAAATGTCAGCTACTGCGCAGTCTTTGAATGAATTTGACGTTGAATTGGACCACTCCAGAGACTGCATAAATGTAAAAAATAACATCTAATTTGATTTAACTGTTTTTACTACCAACCTCAAGCAAGAATATATACCAACCTTCACCTGTGAAAAATATGACTTCTGCGAATGCATTTAGAGAGTAGCAGTTACCGAAAACTCCCTCGCCAGTGCAAAACATTTTACGATATCCAGCTTGGTGCGTACAGGAGACCAATAACAAGTCACTCGGTATTTACTGCCATTCTAACTCGTCAGACAGGATGAATATTTACTTCTTTTAACAGGTAAAACGAAATTCATTAGAAAACCAGCTCAGTAGATCATCTTTCAGCACATGCTGATTTATGTGCTTGCCACCAGTGAGATAAACCCATTGCCGAATAGACGAGCGAAGTGATTCGAATTTGTTGGTAAATTCACTAACTTCTCTGCTTGGTTAGGCGTTCCATAACGGCTTCGTATCGCCTGGCCTCAACTGCACGTTAAATTGAGCCATCGTTTTCCGAATGAAAGTGTGATGAAAAACAGTTAATCATTCCAGACTATCCTCCAGATTGGTTTTATGCAGCTCTTCTCTGCTGAGATCAACTTGCTTTGATGTGGTCGTTTTTTATTTCTCGGTTTATATCTTGATGGAGAAATGTCGTTGAATATGTTATAAATTGGGCTTACGTTCACATCAAATTATTTCCACAAGGCCCCAAATGAATCATAGGATTTATATGCCTCTCGATTGAGTTGATTCTAGGCTTTAACTATATGTCGAAATCGTTCAAATGTTTTATCTAATTTTGGTATGGCGACACAACAAAACGCTTATTCAACGAGCCGCACACCTCAAAGTCTACTTTTGAAGATCAACTTGTACGTTTTTGGGACTGTTTTCAAATTTCTCAGTACTGTACTGTAGATAATGCGTGAGCCATTTGTAGCCAAATAATTTATCAATTTATTTAAGTTAGAATATGTTCATTAATTTGCTTATTTACTGTGCACTGAATGAAAAGAGACAATCAATTTAGAATACACGAGGTCAACGTCATGAATACTGTAATGGAACAAGAATCATTTATC